AATAACTTTTTTAATAATACGTCAGTTATGAAATAATACGTGTATGAATTCATTATATATGAATATAACGAGCAGATTAGTAAAACAATGTCAACTACATTGCTAATCGAAAAATAAACTAACTAACTATGGATACGCATAAACTACTTTATTTATAAATATAATACAAAACCACAGTAACTTTTAATCATAACTGAACATTAAAATAAAAAAATTAATATCATAAAATACGATGTAATTCAAAGACTATACCGTATCGTATTTTACAATGATAATCTATAAAAATAGTACGAATTAGTAAGTACCCTTAACAGCATTAGCCTAAAGCAACAAGTTGATCTGGTACTTGAACTCTATGAAATATATAAAGCAACCATAGCACAGCATAACATATTATAACTCCTACCCATTCCTAACATATGGCCAAAACGAATTAATGCCTGCTATTAATTATGATGAAATATTAACAAAGAATCCCAAATGCAGTGAAATTTAAAGTAAGTATGATACGTACGTACGGTAGACATTAATCTATTCCGGGTATAGAGTTATTTTAATCTTTCACTATTTAGAGCATATGAGCTTTACTGTGCAATAATTTTAAAATACAGAACTTCTGTATAACGAACAAATGTTGAATAGATAGCAGAAATTACACCGTGTATTTAAAATTGTGCCGTCAACCAATATTATACAAAAACTCCTTTATAACAAGCAAAGTTAAAATCTCCAAGCAATTTGTTAAACAGGAGTTCCACTGTATGTGAAAAACAAGTAACATAGTATAATACTTACTTATTTTACAATGAAAGGTTAAAAATATAAAAAAATAATTTGCAAAATGACAGCTCAGTAATTAGTGTCTAGTAAATATACGTATATGTACGCTGACATAGTAGATATTGTTTGTATAGTCGCGTTTTTATACGCCAATTGAATTGAAAAACAGTGCAGAAACTGAAACAATTATACTTCAGTCCAAAGACTATAAATTATCAAAATTTTAAAAAAATGGAAAATTTTAGTAGGCCTTGCTATTGTCAGCAAATTTTAAGTATTGACCAAATTACCCTCGGTACTACATTAGCCTGCCCTACCCTTTCCTTTCGTTCTCTTCTACCCTCACTGCCTATTGTCTAGTCCTGTAACTACACAGATTCACACTAAGGTAGTGATGATAGCCTCTGCTGATATGCTGTGAGGAAATTGGCGGGTTTAACCAAAACAAACCCGTAAAAACTGCCTAGTAGACGAAAAACAATATATAAATGTAATTATAATAATATAGTTCTTCTGTCTTAAATTTTACAGGAAGCGCCAGAAGTTCTGTTACAAAACTTTAAAAGAAAGGTTTGGAATTGATAACATTGACTTTCTCTTCTCAGAAAAAGCCTGCCGCAATCTTTTTTATACTTATCTTCATAAAACTCTACTATAAGATACCATTTAAACTTCTCTATAAGGCACTACTCATATAACTCTTGCAAGATACTATTTATAATATAAAATACTATTTATAAAATGCATTTTCTATCCCAAATCCCTAAACAGTGCAAAGAAACACGTAAGAATTTGTGGAAGACATACATACGTTCCTAAAACATGGTAAATCCCCGTCTCAATTTAGCATCATAATGTAATCTCATTTGTCTCTTTTTATATCCACATTTCTGCAAACTAAAAATGGAACTAATCTGGACAAAAAAGACCTAAAATACGCGGATTAATCGAGGATACGATCAAAGTTTGGGACAAAATTAGAAATACGGTAATATTTTAGTCGTTTATAGATTTTGTATCCTTAAACTTTAACTGAAAGCATCAAAATTCAAAAAACAAGAAAAGCAACGAGGCAAGTGTAATATTCCTCAACGTGTCAAAAAGTCATAATACGTTACAGTTTGCAAAAGACATTCAAAGAAAAACAAAAAATAACAATCACACTTTTGTGTCACGTTGATCATACTGTAACTTTGCTTTTCTAACTGTGAAAGCAGCTAAAAATGTGTATTAAGCCCTGTACTACAAAATAAAATGTTTCCAAACCTATAATATAATTGGAGACAATATAGTTGCCAAATCGGAAGTAAATGAGTAATGCTTAATACCCACTTATAACAATGAATAATAGAATGTAATCTAGTCTGTTAATTAGCTTTTTTGCCCACTTGACAGGAAATCTTTTCGTACTATTTCGTAGCAAACTAATTACTTTTGCTACTTTTTTAGCCTTTTCAAAGTTTCAGGTTACTGTAAAATTAAATTTTGAATTATAGCACTCTCTTTTAGAAGAAAAAAACAGTAAAACAATACTATTATAAAAATTAAAAAATTGTGAAAGAGTCCGCTTTTTGTTTTTCTCCCATGTCTTCTCAACTAGCTGCTCTTGCTGTAACACCTACCGTAAAATTGCTTTGAGAATTCACATTTTTCAACTCAAATCTTTCTTGGTGAGACCTAAACTGTGCATATAAGTGGGGCCTGGCTTCGAACCCGGCCTCCTGTTCCCATATGTGCTGACCTGGCCCAGCATTTTCAAATTTGTTTCAGTCCCCTTTCTAGTCTGAACCCTACCAAAATCCAAATAAACCCAAAACTCTACCACTTTCAGCCAAATGAATCTCAAGAACTAACTGATACTTACAAATCCCTAGTTAGCTCTCGACTGAAAACAGACCCCAAGTTCCCGTTATAGATAATTAAACACACTTCCAACATGATGTATCAAGTAACATGCGCCAAAACTGTCGGCTTTTTATTGTTACGCCCAGTAAACAAGAAAGGCCAACATCTCAGCGAATGTGTTTATTGCCAGCCGACTGACTAGACAACAAAATGAAGTTACCCTTATTAAAATTCCTGTTTTGATAAATGATGTTTTTACTCGCTCTTGATTGTTTGACGCATAACTTTTGCCATAATGACATGAGAAATGTCAGTTAAAGTACAGTATGGGTATTACAATATGTTTTGCTGTTTTTGAAAAGAATTTAAGTATAAAAGTTCGAAGTTTTGTAGTGATTATAAAATCATTATAGATTTTGTTTTTAGTTAGAGAGTTAGCACTAAATTTGTATTTTAATTGAATAAAAATACCTCAAAATTGAATTTTCGCGCATTTTTGAAATTAAAAACTGCAGCATTTTTTATAATAATTTTTTTTCAGCAACAGTGTTAATTATTTTTTAACATTATACTATTTTTAACTTTTTTACACATTTAATAATTTTTAAAATATTTTTTACAAAAAGAATCGGCCTTTCTAGCCTATTATCCAAATTTTCGCGCAAAGAAAAAGCAAAAACAAGAGAGCAGCCTGAGAAAGAGAGAAAACGAAAAGCGCTTCTTTCCTCTTCTCTCTCGACCTCAAACCCAATCGAAAAACAACTGTCCATCCTACGTGCCTCTTAAAAAACCCTCTTTTCTATTTGCGACGGAACTTGGTTGTCAGGCGGCTAAAGGGAGAATCGAAACGCACTCTAATGTGCGAGAATGCAATCCCGGGAAGGTCTGAGAAAGGCGTCCGGTGCAGTTCCCATCTGCACCGTTTCCTCGTGAAGGGGACCGTCCCCGCGGACGGTGTACTGTACTAGAAATTGCCCACGCCGGCTTTAATCAGGGACAAGAAGCTACAGTATTCGTACTGTAGTGGATCCCATCGAAGCTCTAGGCGAGCGTGTTCGGATCACAGTGCAGATGCAGCGCTTTGAGTGCGATCGCCGCGAAACCCAATTCAGACTACTCGATGGCCAAGTTTTTGCATTTTTACGGTATTAAACTTTGAAATAGGTAAAATATGATGTGTAACAACATTTTTAGGCCTATTTTTCTTTATCTTCATGCTAAGATTGTCTCTGGCGACATAAGCAGATATTATAAGTATCAAAACAAAAATAGTAAAATACGGCTCCAAATTCTTAAAATTTTAAAAAAGTCAACAAAATCGCGTCCCTAAACAGTGAATTTCTAACTCACATTTGAACAACTTTTAGTTACGAAGCAGGTCCTTTTTAAAAGGTCAAAATTTAAGTTTAAAGAAACGTCTTTATGTCAGTTAATGCACTAATAACATAAATAAAGGAAGACATGGAAATAAATCAAACTGACATAAACAGTCGTTATCAAGAGACAAAAAAATGTTATTTTTTGAAATTTTTAGGTATGAAAAAATAAAAAATTTCAAAGATTTTTTTAAATTTTTTTAAATTTTTGATTTCTACAACATATAACTATGATCGACTTTTTTAAAACAGAGCTATTTTTTAGAAATATGGTTAAACCTTTGGTATTAGCAATATTTATATTTTTCAATTTAAAAAAATTATAAAATGACGTGAAACCGACCTTAAATTAGCACGTTCAACGTTCAACATTAGCCTGAAAACTAGAGATGAAGCGCATATCTTTACGAAAATGTGCATAAATTAATGTCTTATTGATAATATCAGGATGATGTTGGGTTGAGTAACTAGGCGAGACGTTTCAATTAGTTGAATAGTGCATTTTATTTATATCATCTTTTTATGAATACATTTACATTAATAATTCATCGATTCATCATAGCTTTTTGCATGTTTTTGGTTATGTCATGTCGTTGTAGACATTACTGTAGCAGGGCAGTTGATTTTAGTCGTGAAGAAGGGAAAGCAAATTTGCGGTATTAAGGGCACAGAATTATTTAAACGACATAAAAAATACATAGAAAGTAGCATTTTATGATGCTTATAAAGAGCTTTTACACTATGAAATTTTACTGTATTAACCAATTTTACCGTAGTAACCTACTAATAATACACAATTTGATGTATCACTTAAACCGCTTTTTTTCGGTTATATACGTGTAAACACGAACATATAGTAAACAAACCAGAATAACTTTGGTCATCTATTGTTTTGGGTAGAATAGAATGGGTTTATTGACCTTAGGGGGTCTAATATTTATACGGTCATATATAAGGTCGGACTGTTTATGAATCGGTTACAGAGGGCAGTTTGTCATCATGGGCAAGGTGTTGTAAGTTTTTTACTATGTTATACTTGGGAGACATAAAGATTCAATTTTTTTTTACTTCTTTGCTTTTAAATTATTTTGGGATGTTCAATTAATTCTGAGCCTTCTTTTAAAACGAATTTTCGGGGTCAGAGGCACAGAATTATTTAAATAACCTAAAGTTTTAAAAATAAATTTTCAAATTTAATTTTAAACAAAAACCACTTTCAGCATCCTCATAGTATTCATAGTAACATGCACAACAATAGTCTCAGCATGTTGTTGTTGTGATTGTTGTTGCTGCGATTGTTGCTGTTGTTGCCCGTGCTGTTGTTGTTGCTGTTGTAAGAAGAAGAGTAGTTGTCCTCCTGGTCTAATATTGAACTCAACCAGAGCACGACGTAATGTGAAACTACTACGACCTCAAACTTTGGATGAACTTGAAGCTAACCGTGCCCGAATTATTGCTGAAAGGAAAGCCCGTTCACATGGTCAAGGTTGTGGTAGCAGCTGTGGTGGAAAATGTGAAGGAGGGTGTGGTGGTACTGGTGGTTGTGTTGCTGGTACTGGCGGATGTATTGCTGGTAGTACTGATGGATGTACTGGCTGCACAATGCAAAAACGTGATGCAGAATGTAAGAAGTGTGAGAACGCTGAACGTGAAAAGCTACAGAGCTCAAGCTCAGAACAACTTAATTCACCGTCAAACTCATCATCTCTAGTACGAAGAGAGTGCAATTGCAAAAATGGTTGTACTCGACCAGCGCGAGTCAAGTTCCATCAACTTAAGCCCACATTACCATCAAACTCATCAAACCAAGAAGAATTCAAATGGAAATCCATCAACCAGATACGACAAGATGAATATAAAGAACGACTTCGACTGGTCGCTGAAGAACAGAACGCCAGAGAAGAAGCGGAACGGAACGGCGTGTCTCCAACTCCAAAACCAAAGGCTACAACAACTACTACTAGCACAACAACCGCAATACCAACATCATCCACGTTTTGGCCTCCAAATGTTCAAGTTAAAGAGGTTGGCGACATATCATACGAACCGTGGAGTGAAGAAGATGACGGTAAAAGTCACAGAAGGCCAAAGAACGGAAAACCAAAGAAAATAAGAAGACCGATCAACAAGAATCAACTTAACATACCATCGGATGGCAAGACCAAAGAGATCAAAGGCACCGTACGATGGCCTCAAAGACTACCGATCAGAGATGAGGATGGTAAAGAGAATGGTAGGATGCATAAACAAGGACGAATTCAGACCGGAAATGAAGTTAGAACGAAAGGACATTCTGTGCAAAGGAGAGATGGTAAGTTGTAATAATATAATAAGTAAAAATTATAATAAGGAAAGATTAACAAGGAATGTAGTCGACGTAGAACTATCAGTTTCTCTTCAAATGTTTCCTATAATAAGGTCAAGTAAATTAAAATAAATGTATGATTTTATGCAATATATTAGAGCGCGGTTTGTAGCCAATTTTGAGTGAGATCTAAAAATTACGTTTTAAATTCCTTCAAAATTGGCATTGTGTTTCAAGCTTAAAACTTTGGCTTTATTTGATTTTCACTTATTTTTCTTAGATATACTAGTAGAAACCTCTTAAATGAACTTACATTTTTAAATTTATAAGCCTATCTTATCTAGAAAATCGAAAAACGTGCTTGCAACACAATGCCAAAATTGTCAAAATGCCAGGAAATTTAAGGAACTGTGACTCGTAAAACACAAAATTCTTAGCTATGATAACTTTTTATACGTACAATTGGTACTACAACCAACATTTAAACCATTTCACACAATTTTGACCGTTCCACGTCGAAGCCTTTTCTTGTATGATACTGTAAATTTAATATTATTAATCATGCTCAAAAATACGAAAATTAAACAGTGTGCTACACTTTTAGTTGCTTCTCCCTTCTGTCCTTTCCTAGTTTATGTTAAAGCTAACCCTGTTCCCATTTAGAACCCTCACTTATTGGTAAGATTGATATAAACAATGATACCACAGTAAATGAAAGTGTGTTTCAACGATTTAAACGACAAGTGGCACAACTTGCGTTGAATACAATGTCACATTCCATGAACAAATTTGCTCAGGAATTCTTTGACGATGAAGATTACGGTGTTCAACGTGCTCACATTAATTCTCAATATATTGGGCCTAACAGTCAGTATACTGTACCTAATAATCAACAAATATCTAAGCAGTATCAAGCCGTTCCGGTACACAATTTGCGATTTGAAGCTACAGTAGTTGCAACTAAAGGAAGAAATAGTACGGATGAACAAGTAGTACCAGAAGAGTCAAAAATAGTACCAGGAGAGAAGCAAGCAGTACCAGAAGATAAAACAGCAATACCAGAAGTAAAGACAGATGAAGATACTACTAACTTAACTACTATTTTAAGAAATGAGCTGACTACAGTAAGCTCAGTAACTACTCCTACAAGTCAAGAAGCTACAACGACAAGTAGTTCTGTTATAACAGGCGATAGTACTACTATGATACCAGAAGATATTAATGGCACAATTAGTACTGATGAGTTTGCGTTGCCTCAAGTATCAACAAACCTAGAATCTCAAGTACCAACGAGCTTATAAGTTTTTAAACAAACGACGCTGCTTGATATGAGTCTATAGTGGCATAGGTCAACAATGATACTCTAATTTAATTGACAATCAATTTTTACTTTCAAAAATCTACAAATTTTCTATGTATATGAAGTTTTTTCTATCATTTCCAAACTTTAGCTAAAAAATCAAAATGTTTTTCAAATAAAATATGACATACTCAATGATTATATGATATCAATGTACATAATAAACATTATTAAAAATAATTAATGAAATAGTTTGAAAACATTTAAAAAATGGGTAAAGCTATATATTAGGTTGTTCAAAATATTTTGCGCCCCGTTTTAAAGCAAATTTTCAAGGTTAGGAACACAGAATTATTTAACCAACCTAATATTTAAAATAGCAATAAATTATTTTTTATTTTGAAGTCGAACGGTAAACCTTACTATCCTGTATTTAGTCGCAAAAAATTTTAAAAAAAGTAAATTTAAAACTTCCAAGTTCTTCCCTTTGTAACTCATAATTATCTGATCAATACAGAGCATAATCATAATTTTATACAATGATAATTTCAGTTGGTTTATTGGATTAAAATAAAAATTTTTAAAATTGGATAAAGAGAACTTATAAGAAGAGTTTAATACTCTAAAGAGGTTTCAGTATTAAATAAAAAGTCAAAATTTGTCAATTGAAAGCTTAATTTTTAATTTTAAAAGTGCATTTGGTTAACCTTAATAAGCTTGAAGCCTGTCTTCACAATGACACCACCTTATGTCAGTCTTCACATAGGTGTCTCCGGTCGCTTTTCAATGTAATCCTTTATCTGAGGCAGACCAAAAACCCTCTTTACAAATCCCACCAAATCTAGATGTTTCTCAAACAACTCCGGCTTCAGTTTGTGCAGAGTGTGCAAGTAATCCGCGATGAAAAAATCAGCCGCAGTAACTTTCTTTCCAACCAAAAACCCACTGCCATTCTCTTGAAGTATCTTGTGGTATATCTGGAAGTAGTGTTCACAAACTGGCTGAGCTACAGTGTAGAAGAGTTTGTTTTTGTCACCATCTTTGAAGCCATTTGTGACCATCAGCCATTCCATTATCTCTAGGTATTCGTTCTTGTGCAGCTCGATCAGTTCGTCGACTTTGGCTTTTTCCCAGCGATCTTTTCCGGCTAGTCCTAGAAATATTGTTATAGATGATTATGTAAATATAAAACTTTTAGAAAAGTACTAGGTCAGAGGGTGTCACAATATAAGGATCATAATAAAGATATTTCACTGTATTATAAACCACTCTTACCATGCTGTTTAGCCAGAAATCGTAGAATAGTAGTGCTTTCACACAATGGCTTTCCATTCACTTCTAAGACTGGTATCTTTCCATATGGCGTTTCTAAAGCGTAAGTTCAAAGTATTTTTAGGAATTCAAAGTTAATGAAAATTCAAATAATAATTTTTTTTTAAATCTGCAAAATTTAGATATAAAAACGTATTTTTTAAAAACTTTTGATACCTAACATGTCAAATAACTCACTGTTCTTATAAGTAGTCGGCCACTCATTGAACGGAATGTAAAAGTCTTCAAATGGCACATTAGCATAATGCAAGACCAGCCTAGACCCTTCGGCTAAATTCCTGACCGGAAAATACCACAATTTGTAATGTACCATGACGAAACAATTAAGTGACAAAAAAGAAATAAGTTTTTGGATAGGCTTTTAACAGAATTGAAGCTAATTTCAGACAGTTACATAGTAACAAAGAGGAAAAAAGTGGGTAAAAAAAAGGTTACAAGAGACTCGAAACAGATTAATCAGCCCTTTTACCATGGTTATATGCTTGTTGTGAGTAAACATGTTGAAAAACAAAGGATTAAGCTAGTGTTAAGATAACTAGGCTTTAATAAAAAAAAAACTAATTTTTAATTTAAAAAAAATATTTGTTAAATTTAAAATTTTTATTTAAATTCTACGCTGTTCAAGCCTAATTGATAAGATAAAAAACGGGCTGGATCACTTTTGAAACCCAGTCTAAGTCTCGCGCATACTATTAAGGTGGGGCTGAAACCTCGGGCTCACTTTTGAGGTCTTGAGCCTAACGTTTAAGCCCAAAAGATTTAATTTTAAATCCGGGCCGCGGGCCAGTCCCAACTTTAAGGATCCGCTTTTCAACTTTCATGCTCAATCGTAAAGCTAAGCCAAGCTTACACGGGCAGTTTCTAACCTCTACTGGTTAACACGTACAGTAAAACTCTTGTGCAATGAACTCCTCTATAACAAACAAAATTAAAATCTTCAAGCAATTGGTTACACACAAGCTCTGCTGTATTAATGAGACTATAAGTATATCCATGTCTTCTTCTAAATCTTTTCAAGTGCAACATAAATAAATAGTACTATAGCAAAAATCTCTAATGTGTGAAAACTATAAAGTCACATTTATTAAAAAATATTAATTGACTCTTTTTTAATAGACACAAAAGAAACGCCGAAAAATTAACAAAAATAATATTTATGTTGGCGGAAGATCAAACGCCGCCATACTGTAACTAATCACAATTATCTTGTATAAGCCAATCGGAAAGGGAGGAGAGGCCTTGTGAAGACATAATAAGGATATAAATGAGCTGATTCTGAGTGAGACGAACTGGGTACTTTCTTTGTGGTTCTATAGTATTATAATGTTAATCTTAGAGTAGTTTTATCCTGTTGTCATAAATTTTGCCTTTTTTACAATTTAAAGTTAGTATGAAGTTTTTGTTTTTACAATCCTTCAAAATTTAAAAAAGTTTAATGAAAAGTGCATTCGTCCTTTTGAAGGTGACCAGAGACAACAGAGTGTCAATCCCAACCCGAACCGTCCCAAGTTGTGACTTGTCTTAGATTTCCTCACTCAACAGAAGCCTCGGGACGAAATGATTGATACTTTTTGTGTCCGTGCCATATGTAATCAATTTCGTGCTGGATATGCTTTTTCAAAATGCTTCCCCGTTGGGTGATAATTGCTGTTTGACATTTTCGCGTTTTAATTTATGTTGTGTTAGTGGGTTATTTTGTTGTGAGACAGATAAGAAAAAATTTAAAAAAAACATGTTTTTACTGTGTAAATGCTTTGGTAAAAAAATCTGTAGCAACCAAGAAATTTTGGCCGTGTTGAGAGTTTAAAGAAAAGTTTAAGTTTTAAAAATTAAATATTTAAATTTTTTGTCAATTTGGCAAGTCTGGCATGACATTGTGTTGCAAACAATTCTTTAAATGTTTCAGATAAAATAGGCTTAAAAATTTAAAGATGTAAGTTCATTTGAAGCTTTTCTATCATTATATTAAAGAAAAATTATGAGTTAAAAAAGAATAAAAGTATGAGCTTGCAACATGCCAATTTAGTAAAAAGTTCAAAAAGTCATTTCTGATTGTCATTTTCACTGTACTAGCCGAAAACTAAAAAATAGTACAGTAGAACTCCTGTATAAACTAATCGTTTAATTATTTTGAACTTTTTCGTTATAAAAGAGCTTTGGTATCTATGTACCGTCGGCAGTGCTTTAAAAGTTGCTTGCTATACGGGATTTTTGTTATAGAAGAATTTGTTATACAGTATTTCTAATACGTTCTGCACAAGACCTTAAATTTACAGGTTTTGGTATAGAAAAGATTGAAGAGGATTTGAGGGTTGTAGGTTTAATACCTTTATTATATGTAAGTTAAAATTCAGCGTTTAAAACAATTTTTGACCTAATGAGGTCAACGTTTTGTTAAATATGTATTAGTTTTTTGAAATACTAGCCAAAACGACAAATATTTTACTATTGTCATAAACTTTTTACAACCTACTTTAACATGAGCTTGCAGAAAATATTTTAAATACTTTATTCTCATCAACTTTGACCACTTCTTTCTTACATTATTCTACCTAAAACAATATTTTTGTCACCTCTCTATTTTTATGTCAGTATTACCTATAAAATCATAAAGTGGGTATCAAAACACATTAATATAAATCTCGAAACATGTTAATAAACCACGCGTTTCATGATTAATTCGGGCTTTAAAGTCATTAAACCAGAGTTTTATCACCTTGTTTTACGCTCATCTTCATCCCCCCCCCCCCCCCTCAGGCCATGAAATGAGTGTGGGCTTTGAAATGAGAATGGCAGTCTGATGAACCCGAAGAACCCAAAACATAATTTTAATGGAGCAAAGGGATTCTCTTACATTTATTACTCTTTGCGCTTTGTTTTGGCTTTTACTTTGGAGTTTTGGGGTTTTGAAAAATAAAAAAATTTTAAAATTTTGATTAACAGGCTTGTGATCCTACATCATAACTGATCTTGTCTCTATATATCTTGTATATTTTCTTACATACCACAAAGTTCTTTCGTTTTACTATATTAACAATACCAACTTTAAATATTTGAGTATTTTATATATTAGGTTGTTCACTTAATTCTGCGCCTTCACTCAACGCAAATTTGTAGGGTAAGAGGCGCAGAATTATTTGAACAACCTAATAAAACTCACTACAGAAGTGACATTTTTAAAATAAAATAGCCTGCTTCTTGCAAAAAATGTAAAAACAAAGCTTGAACCAATAATATTCTTATGTTCAAAGCTCAAACCCATAACCGTCTGCTCCTATCTTTTTTTTTACCATGCGAGCTATAGTAGTGTTTCGTAGACGGAACCAACTTTTCAAACAAAGTTTAACATAATTTAATTTTAAACACATTGTTTTAACGGGTTTGTAAAAATGTTTTTTTCTTGTGGTCAGATGATTGTTGCAAAGATAGTCATACGACATCAGAGTGAAATTTTTAAAATATTTTTTGGTTTTTGTATGTTTGTTATGTTTTTTAAAATTGCTTGGGGTCTATAGTGTAATAAGCTTTTTTATTGGACTCAAAAGTTTTGCTTAGATCATTTTTGAATTTTAATGTTATTGTATATAAGCCCTCTATACGAAGAACTCCTCTTTGACGAACTGACATAACAAATTTCTTCCAGCTGCCTTAGAATGCCTTATACGATGCTTCCACTGTAAATTTAATAAGCTTTTGTAAACTGGCCATTTTTTTCATTTACATGGTCATTCAATTTTGAAAAAAAAAATTTAACGTAGGGCTAGAACAGGTTAAATGTGAGTCAAAACTTCCTGTATAACAAACTCTTCTATAACGAAATTTCCGTCTAACCAAGAACCTTTAATTCTTTTTCTAACACTACACAGTGCAATTTAAAACTTCTTTGTATCGAAGATGCTTCATAAGGAACAAATTTTAAATCTTCAAGCGATTCGTTATACAAGAGTTCCGCTGTAGTTATTTATCTTCTGTAAAGGTTGCTTACAAAGATATGGCAGAAATCGAGTATTGAAACTAGATAGACCTATATCATGTGAAAGAGCATCAAATTTATTTACCATTACACTTTACTCTAGTTATCATAGCCTCATCTACGTTATCTCTTGCCTATGAGCTAAGTGTTTTATTTGACGAGGATTCTGGAACATCCTTGCCGACGTTGCGTTTATTAAGTTTGTACGGGCCGAAGAAGGGGGGCGCATGTTGTGGCCAAGTTCGGTTCTACGAGCTTGAGAAAAAAAATTCGACGTGGAAAACGGTTTCTGAATTTGTAATGAAATGTTTGTTTGACAGGCTTGTGAATCCTGTTCTAGATTTTCGAATGTTTTGACATTTTTGTCAAGAATTTTTGATTTTATAGAAATGCTTTTGGAAAAGATTGTCGCTATGGCAATTTTGGGATTTGAAAAGTTGTTCACATTTTTAAATTTAAAATTAAAATTTTGTTTTTTTGAAAAAAGTATTTTATTATGACGCATGATGAAAAGACAGTTGAACTCTTGTATAACGAATTGCCTTAAGTTTTAAACTTGTTTGTTTTAAAAGAGTTTTGTTATAGGAGTTTTAAATGCACCATGCATCTTTTGGCCGAAATTTGTTATACGGAATTTTCATTATGCAGGTGATGCAGTATTAAATTTTTTTTTAACTGTAATATAACAGATAGTAAGCGTCAAACGTTATTAACTTAAAAACGTTTTTTAAATTTATTTTTAAATTTTCAAAAATCGTATAAATTTAAAAAATATTTATGACCACAAGAGTACCATTAATCGTACTAATCCTGTCTATTGTTATCAGCGGCTGTTTGGGTTATTTATTGTATTGATAGAGTAATTATTAACAAAGCTTCTGATCTTGGACTTTTTTGTTTTGAAATGAAGACAATAGGCTATATTACTCATTGTTTTGTATTTCTAGACAAGTTTGAAACAAACTACGAAACATATTTTGAAATGTGGACATTTTAGGCTTAAAATGATAGACTTTTTGGGTTTTAGCTTAAATTAATTCTTTTTGTATATTTTTTTGAAAATTTATATTATAGAATTGTAGCTTTTTTAAATTTGTAAGTGTAGCTTGTCTGGAAAGTCGAAAAAAAGTGCTTGAAACACAATGCCAAGTTTAAAATATTGCTGAAAATTTAAATATTTTAATGTTAAAACTCAAAAGCGCAACCTAAAATTTTTCTTGAATACTATTCTTGGTACAAAGAATTTATATGAAATCTTTGAGCTGCTTCTGAGCAAAGCAGGTTGGGTACCCTACTTGTTAGGAATTTTTATTTTTAATAACTTTTCACAATTTTTAATT